CCCCCGGTCCTCTCCTAGTGCTACTCAGCAGATGCTCTTCTGGATGTTGCAGTCGAGATTCCCTCCTGCATTTGCAGACTGCTGGCACTCCGCTCTTGCAGCTCAGACAAGCCTCCACAGACCCCTCAGCCCTCCCCCTACAGACTTCTTTGCCAGAAGGGAAGAACTGGGGGATCCCAGGCTGTGGGAGCCAGGCCAGCCCCATCAACACATACGTGTTTGATTTTGAGCTGGATACACCTCCACCCGCAGACGAGCTTCTCTGTGCCACACTGGATGGTCAGCATCTTTGTGCAGAGAGAGTCTCCTTCCAGGGGCCAGCACACCTCACCTGGGACCTGTGCGCAACAACAAGTTTGGCTTCATGTGGATGGTTGCCATATCTCAGATCAGTCACCATCGCAGGGACCTGAGATGGGGTTGGACCAAGAGCCCCCCCAGTATCACTCCATGTCAGTTCATCCCCTAGCTAAACCCTGGGGGAGTTTTTGGAAACAACAGCAGATTGCAGCCAGCTTCCCTGGTAACACAGAGCTTGCTTGGCAGCGGGGGTCTGCTCAGCAAACACTCTCCACCTCGGAGGCACAGAAGCCGGAGCTGCTGTCCTTGGGTTCCATGGAGATGCAGCTTGAAGAGTCCACAGCCATGGGCTGCATGGTGGGCAGACAGAACCTGTCTCCCATGACAAGCAGCGGGAGCACTTTTGGCACAGGAAAGGTTCAGCTTTGGCCAAGCTGGATCTGCACCCAGGCTTCAGGGGCTGTGACGGGAGTTCACGTTTTGGAGCTGTGAGAGCTTCCCGCTCCGTTAAACAGATCCCTGCTCTGCCATGGGGCAAGCAGGCACTGGAGCCTTACCTCCCCCTTCTCCTGCCATGGGAGAAGTGTTAGGATGGTGTGAACGTCCTGTTCCCACACCAGGGTCCAGAAGTCCTCCATGGTCAACTTGTCAGGCCCCTGGACAGCCAGATACTCCCTGCTGGAGTTGCAGCCCTGGGTGGGGAAGGAGAACGTCACTCTCCTGCTGGAGAGGGTGGCACGGGTACCTCGTCACCCAGGCAGCTGCAGGAGAGGCCAGGAAAAGAAGGGGAAGCTCAGCAGGTCAGGAGGCAAAGAGAGAGGGAAAGCACCAAGGGAGGGAAGCGGGGACAGCCCAAACTGGGCAGGGGTCCAGGAGCAAGGCACATCCTCAGTCCCCACAGCCCCCTCTTGTCCACACAGGGTCACGGCAGCAGTGACTGGTGGAGCAGTGCAGGAACCAGGGTGAGGATGGAAAATGGACGTGGCAGGACCATGGGGTGGGCATTGCGGTTGGGGGTACGACTCACCGGGACACGCCACGTCTGCAGGAGACCTGAGATAGGGCCCTGTTCCAGCAGGGAAAACTTCACCCTGGAGCGATCGTCTGCAAAATACGTGGGAGGTGAAGGGAGCCAGGGCAGCCTGGCACTCACACAGCTCAGACCCGACATATCCAACGCCCCATTCACTCTTTCTCTGCAAAGGTCCCACCCTCTGCAATGCTCTTGTCCAGCTGATGGACATTAGTCTCCAAAAGACAGCCCTGGGACTTGGTCTGGAGATGCCAGAGGGGAATCCTTTTCTGTGGGTGGGAAGGGACCTTCGCAGGTCTCTATCCCAATGTCCTGCTCAGAGCAGTGCAGGTTGCTCAGCATCTTGGCCAGTGGAGATCTACGTATCTCCAAGGAGGAAGAGCCTGCAGATGCTCTGGGCCCCTGATCCAGTGTTTGGCCACTGGGCCAAAATTCACTGGGGAATTTTTTTTTCCTTATACTGATTTGGATTGCCCTTCCAAATCACCCCCATCGCCTCTTGTCCTTCCACGGTGCACTTCTGAGAAGACTCTACATTTTCCCTGTGCCCTCCCAGCAGGCAGCTGAAGAGAGCAGTAACACCCTTCCAGCCCTCCAGGCTGAACAACCCCACCTATCTCAGTCCCATGCATCATGCGCTCCACCCCCAAAACACTGTGGTGGCCTCCTGATGGACTCACTGCAGTGTGTCAAAATATTTTCTTGTGCTGTGGAGCACGGGCCCTGGCCCGGCCTGGCTCCACGCAGGTACAGGAGGGAAGAGGACACAAGGTGTCACAGCACTTACACGGAAGGATGCTGGAAGAGGGCCGTGTCTGCTGGTTGCCTGAAGATGGTGTTGCAGAGCTGGCTTCTTCCTTGACAACTTCTAGGAGAGTCTGCCAGAGTGAAAGTGGAAGGGTCAGGAGTGGCCACTGGGCCAAAATTCACTGGGGAATTTTTTTTCCTTATACTGATTTGGATTGCCCTTCCAAATCACCCCCATCGCCTCTTGTCCTTCCACGGTGCACTTCTGAGAAGACTCTACATTTTCCCTGTGCCCTCCCAGCAGGCAGCTGAAGAGAGCAGTAACACCCTTCCAGCCCTCCAGGCTGAACAACCCCACCTATCTCAGTCCCATGCATCATGCGCTCCACCCCCAAAACACTGTGGTGGCCTCCTGATGGACTCACTGCAGTGTGTCAAAATATTTTCTTGTGCTGTGGAGCACGGGCCCTGGCCCGGCCTGGCTCCACGCAGGTACAGGAGGGAAGAGGACACAAGGTGTCACAGCACTTACACGGAAGGATGCTGGAAGAGGGCCGTGTCTGCTGGTTGCCTGAAGATGGTGTTGCAGAGCTGGCTTCTTCCTTGACAACTTCTAGGAGAGTCTGCCAGAGTGAAAGTGGAAGGGTCAGGAGGAGCAGAGGGAACTGGGGACTCCTGGGGACACCTGGCTACAGCTGCAGCCTTAGCGGGGGTGCTAGGTGGCCACCTCTGGGTGTCACGGTCCTGCAAGGTCAGTAGATGGCTGCGTCTCTGTCGGAGAATGGTGTTCAGGTAGGTCCCTACGCTGCATGGGGTCTGGGAGGGAGGGGGTCATGGACAGACCCTGATCAGTGCAGGGTGCATGAGGGAACAACGTGCTGGGAACACAATGCCATGGAGAGGGGACGCTGCCAGGATAACCAGGAATGAGGGAACTGGAGCATGGGACACACTCAGGAGGCACCTCTTGGATGTCCCCCAGCCTGACCAGGTGCTATCACTGCCCAGCTCCCTCCACTGCCTGTGGCCACCGCAGGGCTCCCTGCACCCTGCCCAGGACCGCTCTCACCTCGTACTCCCTCAGGAAGCCCACATGGGACTTGGCTGCCTTCTGGGCATAGTGCTGAGTGAAGCTTTTCAGTGGGATGGGGCAGGACCTGGGGAGAGAAACCAGGGGTGAGGGTGAGGTTGAGCAACCTGGGCAGCATCCAGGCTGTGTCTGCAGCAGGTGGACTGACACCTTCAATGCTCAAACGCCGTGGCCCTTGCAGGTCCCCAGCCCAGCTCTGGCCCGTGCCAACCTGCTCTCCCCTAGACAAAGGCAGGTCTCAGGTGTGGCACAGCCCAGGGCTGATTCCCAAGATGCAGCAAGGACAAGGACATCCTGTTCTGAATGAGGGAGGAAAGAATTTGACTATAAAGAGAGATATGTGACCTCCAGATGTAGCCTCAGAGACCAGGTAGGTGGGCAAAGCCATGCCCAGCCTGACCCTGCTCCCTCCTCTCGGTCTCTGTTAGAAGGGACATCCCAAGGCCACCCAGCTGCCATGAGCCCCTCCAGTTTGAACCCATCTCTAGGGCATCCCTGTGGGTTGGGAAGCCAGGGGCTGATGGAAATGCCTTCCCCAGGACAGGTCTGCAGCTCTTTGGCATTGGCGTAGCCCAGGAGACTGGCACTGGAGGAAAGGAGGATGAGGTCCTCCCAGCCCTCCCAGTGTGCCCAGTGTCCCACACCTAGCTCTGGGCTGGGGTCCCCATGCTGCAGGGAACACCCAGCCCTGGGCTGGCGCCCTCAAAACAGCGGGTGGGATGGCTGGCTGGGGTCCCCTGTCCTTCTGTCCTGGAGCCAGGGCTCAAGCTGGGGTCAGGGTCCCAGCCTGCTGCCAGAAGGGGCTGTGGATCAGGGTGGGTAAGTGGCCGGTGAAACACAGCAGGCCCTTACCTCTCTGTCCCTGATAAACCCAGGAGTGGTTCCTCCAAGATCTTTTCCAGGATACAGCTGTGCAGGAAAATATACTGGGACTGGAAGGCAAAGGCAGACAGGAAGGTAGAGCATCGCACCACGCAGGCAGCTGAAAGGGTGGGTATGGCACTGCCTAGTGGGCAGAGGGTGTCCTGCATTCATGCCCCAAAATCCCTATGTTCATGCCCAAAAGGCCCTGGCTACTTCAGTCTCAGAGCCCCTGGATCCCTCCACTATGTTGGTCTGTCTGTCTGTCCTGAAGAGTAGCACTGACACCTTGTCCCAACCCTGACAACTGGAAATATTCGATGCGCTGTGGCCATCACAGGCCAACGACATGGTGTGGGCTAAGAATTGCCTGCAAAGGGCCCCATCCTGCTCTTAGGTGCTCTGGGGTGTCTCTGAGCCTCCTGGGAGGGCTCTGAGACTCTGCATGTTGCTGCTGTGGGTCTGGCAGGGCGTGAAGCTGCTGAAGACCCCCACAGCCAAGCAACTTCCACTCCAGCTGAGCCACTGCCTTGAGCAGCACCGTGACATGGCGTCAGGTTGGGGACCAGCCTGGGGGTGCTGGGGCTGGCCGGCCAGCTCATCTCTCTGTCAGCCCAGCTAGTGGATCTGTGGATGCTGTGGGGCAAGGGGCCTGCGGGAAGGGGGAGCAGAGGTCTTACCAGCGTCTGAATCATCAGGTAACGGTTCATCCGCAAGGCGTAAACCACACCAAAGGCGTCCACCACCTTCTCCTGCTTCATCTGCTGCAGCAGTCGGTCCAGGGCAATGAAGGTGCCAGTGCGGCCCACCCCGGCACTGAGACCACGGACAGCAAGGGTTAAACATTGCCCGACCTCACAGGCGATGGGCTCCCCTCCCCTGCTACCGGCACCCTGGGCCGTTCAGGCTGCCCTGGGTTGGTGCGGACCCTCTCCAGCTGCCCCGTCCCGGGGGACTGGGGGTCAGGCTGCAAGCAGACCTGCAATCCCCAACACCCAAGCAGGAGACTCTCTACAGACCAGCTGTGTCTCCTGGGTGCTGCTTTCCCCCCCCAGCCTGTGCACAAGTAGGACCCTCGTCCCCCATGCCCTCGCCCATCGTCCCCTCCTGCCGTCCCCCAGAGCAGAGCCTTACCTGCAGTGCACGAGGGTCGGCCCCGCATCCTTGGTGCTCTGGATGTGCTCCCGGACCAGCTCTCTGAAGGTCATGATGGAAGTCGTGGACTCCGGGATGCCATGGTCGGGCCATGCCGTGTAATGCAGGTGGGACACATGCCGTTCTGCCTGGAGACCCTCCTGCCAGGGGGATGTTGGTGGTCAGCATGCAGTCCACTGGGACAGGGACATGCATGCACCCCGCAGCCCTGGGGGCACCTGGGTCTTGGGGACACCTGGCTCAGCTGCAGGGAACAGTGAGCACCGTATCTGCTGCACTGCCTGGTGGCTCCTGCTCCCGGCCCCCCACCATGGTCCCCTGCCATGGTGAGGCACGTGGAGGTGGCAAGGACGAGACCTGCCTCTGACTGCTGGGGAATGTGCCCGTGAAGCTGCAGGCTGTGTCCCAGTGCAGGGACGTGGACAGGAGAGAGCAGGGTGGACAGAGGGGGTAATACACACTGGTGGTGACAGACTGCTCCGCAGGGGATTGGGACTTTGAACCCCGCTAATGGCAGGGAAAGGAAATTATGCCATCACCACTGAGGAGGAACAGCACTGCACCCCATGCAAACCCCCAGCCCTTGACAGGTCCCCGAGTCTGTCCTCTTGGATCCTTACTCACATGCCAGAGTTTGAACTCACGCATGGTCCACTCCTCGGAGCTACTCTGGGTCAGCAGATGGACCTGGACCTGCCCGTAGGAGACTGGGGCAGATTCGGATGGCCAGTAATGATCACAGAGGACCTAGAGTACAGGCAAGACAGGGTCCCAGTGAGGCCAGTGAGGGCCCAGGTCCCCCTGGGTGACCTCCCAGCTCCCTGGGAGCATCTGGAGAGCAGCAGCTCTGTGGGGAGCCAGGGCGGGTCTTGGGGAGCAGGCAGGGGTACTTCCCCTTCCCACCAGGAGCAGCCCATGTGGGGTGTCTCATCCAGAGGCAAGCGGTAATTTCAGACACTGCAGAAATGTCTGAGGGTGATGGGCATGGTTCCAGCTAAGCTCCACTTCTGCCCCTTCCTACCCCAAGCTGACACCGAGCTGCACACATCAGCCTCTGTCCCCCCGAGCTGCCTGTCGGGGAAGCTGTGCGGCCCATGCTCACCCCGGAGCCACATCTGAGCAGGGGTTGGTGGGGGACACAAACCCAGCCCCGGGCTCAGCTCGCACGACCCGGTCTGGGCTTGGCTGGGGCTGGCACATGGAAGCCCCGTGGTGCCGACCTACCCGCCCGTTCTCCATGCACACTGTCAGCATGATGATGTTGCAGACATTCTGCTCCCACACCAGCCTCCAGAAGTCCTCTATCGTTTTCTTCAGGGGCCCCTGGGTGGCAATGAACTCCTGCTGGGATGTGTAGCCCTGAGGAAGGGGCAGACAGGAGGAGTTGGCAAGTTGCTGAGGCAGGTGGGTCCTGCCCTGGGACAGGATCAGTGCCTGGCCTGCTTTTGTGGTAGGGGGAGAAATGCCTGCTGCCCTTAGCCCAGGGGGGGACAGCTCCCAGGCAGCTGATGTCAGGGGCAGCCAATTTCACAGGACGCACGTGCTGCCCAACACAGCTCTCTACATATTTGGAATAAAGACGTGATCCCCCCTGTTTCCCTCCAAGCGGTTCCTCATTCAGCCTGACCAGGGAAAGACAGATCTGGGTCTTTCTTGTGCTCCCCAGTCACTGCTGAGGGCAGGGCGAGCATGCAAGGTCTCAGGCTGCTGCTTTGCCTTTGCCCCTTTGACACAGCCATGCCCCGTGCATCCACAGACCCGTGCATGCATGCTGTGTGCCCTGCCAGTTACCTGGGAAAACCTCCCGGATGGGGGATGTGGGAACAGCTCCGGGGTTGTTCAAATGCAGCTGCACAGACCAGAAGGAGAAAGAGCAGACAGACAGACAGGGCAGTAAGCTGGGAGAGGATGGGAAGAGGAAAGTCCTCAAGAAGAAAGCAGAAAGCCTTGCCAGTCTGCCCACACTCACACCTCTGCATTCTCAGCACTTGCCATCTGAGGGTCTCCATCAACCCCTGCTAAAGGGCAACTGCGCATCTCCACCTGACCCCCAGCTCCTTGCCAGTCTGCACCAGCTGCGCCTGCAGCGGCAGCTCTTGCCCACCAGCCCTCACAGCCTCAATCCAGGCAGAGTTTCTCTGATGGTGCCCCATGGCCATGTCTCTGTGGGGAAGGCAAGTGGGATCTCACAGGCATGAAGTTGGCATTGATGTAGTCTGAGTATGGATCCTCCCCCAGCTGGCTCAGCTTGACCCGAGAGTGATCGTCTGAAAGAAACCATACACACGTGTCCCCCCGAGCCAGCCCTTCACCAAGACATGGCCATCTCCACTTGGGTAACACCCCGGCAGCTCCGCTGGCTCCAGGTACGCAGCCAGCAATGGAGCTGTGTGTTCGGCCAGGCACCTCCTCCCTGGAGAGGTGAGCAGTGCCCGCCAGCAGGGTTAGCGGGGGGGTAAGAAAGCAGAGATGCTATCATGAGGCTCATGGGAGACGCCATGGGACACTCGTGGTCCCCCTTTGGTCTCTGCCTGGGACCCATCCCTGAGCTGGGCTCACTCAGCGCCTGCCCAGCAGCCTGCGGGAAGGTGATGGCTCAGCCCTGGCTCAACCCTTAAGCCTGGAGTCTCCAGCAGGAAAAGGGAAACTGAAGCCCCTTGCAAGACTCCTTCTCCCAGGAGCGGAGCCAGGCGCTGTGAACCCCACAGCGATGCAGGGCGAGCCCGTCCCTGCGCATGCAGCGTGAATTCCCACCCCGGGTGCTGGGGGAGGAGACGGCACTTACAGGGCAGCACGTGGGGATATCTGTTCTTGGAGACGTTGGCTGGGAGCTCGGCCTCCACCTTTGGCTGCTCCTTCCCAACTTCCTTCAGCTCCTGCAGGACAAGGGAGAGGGTGATCACAAGTGTCTCTCTGGAGAGCTGCCGGCCGACCCAGCGCCCTGCTCATGGCCAACGGCTTGGTCTGGTGGTTCGAGAGGGTCACCAATGTGCAAGGAACTTCTTTGCTCCCTCAGGACAGCCTGTATACTCTGAGCCATAGCTGGCTTCTCCCAGTGCCTTTTCCAACAGCACTGTTTGTATTTCAAAGAAAACAAGCCCAAGAACAAGTATTGGGGAAAAAAAAACCACTCAGAAATCAGAAATCTACCAAGAAACTCAGAGCATTTTGTGCTGAGAAAACAGAAACAGAATCATAGAATCATGGAACTGTTTGGGTTGGCAAAGCCCTTTAAGCTCCCCCAGCCCAACCAT